CTAATAAAGTACGCGCAATTTATTAATTTATTGTTGAAACCTTTTACCTTTTAATAGAATAGAAATGACAAGGGGTTACCTAATAAATACATTACTTAGCTTCCGTTTGTATTTCATTTACCATAAGAATTAAAAAAAAAACTAAAACAAAAAACTTACAGCAGCTTTATTACTTTGATAAAACCTTTCTGTTTGTTTCTACCTTTACATAAAAGACAAATGATCTTAAATTAAAAACCAAGAACTTCAATTAACGTATATCCGATATTAATTAGTAAGAAATTCTTATCCTTTAAAATCTTAAAGTATCGATAATTATCGAACGATTTTATCGATATTTAAAATGATTGAATCAATCACTAGGCTTTATCTTTGATTCTCAGTTTACCCGCTTTATGGACCAATATTCTAAGCAGGACCGCAGCTATTATTGGAAATGGGGTCTAATAGTTTTGCGATAAGATAACAAAAGTATGCTCTAATTTTGACGGAAACAAGACTGGCTTAATTGGATTAAACTATTTGAATACACCTCAGTTTCAAATAATTGGCAATTATTTGTAACTAGCTGTCGCCCGCGACTTCGTCCGCGTGGTATAAGAAAACATACGAACTATATAAATAACAAAAAGCTACATATCCTTCGGGGATGAACCTTATCCCATGTGTACTCCAGACTTTGCTTTATATCTGTGCCAAATTTCAATAAGATATGTTGAACCGTTGCGGAATGATCGAGTAAATATTGAAAAACCAAATTAATGAATCCCACGGGAACCGTAACTATTCCCGGGATAAAAAGTAGCCTATGTGTTCTTCCAGACTATGCTCTAAACCTGTGCAAAATTTCATGGAGATCCGTTCAGCCGTTTAGGCTACAAACGCTAACAAACATCCATCTATCTAAACTTTCGCATTTATAATATTAGTAAGAGTATGAAGTAAGATTAGTAAGATTTGTTATTTTATTTTTTTTTACATTAATGTCGCAAAGACGCACACTTTTGACAGATTAACTAACAGTCGAAATATACAGAAAATTGTGCATGTAAAAACTTGGATTGACAGTTAAAACTGAACGTCTGTAATCGGGCTTTATAAAGAGTTTATTGAATGTTCGTTTATGTATGATCACTTAAAGCTTAAACGGCGGAATATAATTTTTAAAGACCTCCAATTATGAGATTATTTATGCTGTTAGTAGTTTTTGTTTTTTATTATTCTTCTAAATCCAGTTAAATCTATATCTATACTAATACGATTATTATAAAGTGGAAAGATTTGTATTTTTTGATTTTCGTATTTTTGTATGTATTGAAATAACTCAAAAACTACTGGGCCGATTTTAAAAATTCTTACACCGTTAGAAAGGTGATTATTCTGTGAGTGACATTGGCTATATTTTTTAATGTCACGCGGGGGAAGTCGTGAGCAATAGCTAGTCATAAATAAAAGAATTGGATATTATAATAAAATATTGAAGTAGTTTTTGGCCGATTAAACATGTAAGATTTTTAGTCTGTGGCGTGATTTAGCGACATCTAGCGGTGGGTAATTGCACTATGCAACTAATGGTATCCGCGAGGCATCGCCATGGGTGGTATAAAACGTCTCATATATTCCCTTCAAATACCAACGTCGAACTAGCTCCCGACTGTACAAATACATTGTATGTCGCAGTAAAACTATTAATAACGTTAATTTGAAATCCAACTTACGTTTTAAATTAGTTATTTTTTAAACAACACAGTTCATACATCTATTTTATAACATAATAGATGTTGCTCGCGAATAAATCTGCGTTAAATTGAAAAATAACAAAAATACATAGCCTATGTTATTCAATTTTTGAAATAAGCTCCGTAGATTTTGTGTTATTTCAATACATACAAAAATACCTATCTATATAATATCCTCTTTATAATATAATATTAGTATATATTTAAGCTAAACTCTAACAAACATCCATCCATCTAAACTTTCGCATTTATAATATTAGTATACTCGTAATATAACAGTGCAAACAAAATTTACAGAATAATTTTTTAAGCTCAATTACTTACTATTAAGATATAATAAAACAATAAATTTACGTTACTTTAAGTTATTAATGCAGAAAACATGTCCATGTATCGAGTTTCGTCATTTCGTCAATCTAGTAAAACCATAAACTACCGCATTTACATTTACGGTGACATCGATTTTAACAAAGTGATGTGAGAAAGAATAATGTTAGTGTTTCTGTAACACTATACAGTTTTAGAATTATTGTGTGCGCGAGCGCCGAGTAACACAATCTGCGTATGTGAAATAAAAAGTCAGTTTTAACTTTATGACTCGCCGTTTAAAAATGTATTACTTGATAGAATAGCCGTCATCAAGAGAGAGCAGCTGCGTATGTGATCTTCTTGAATGTCGTCTACATCTATACCAAGTTTCATCGAAAACCGTTCAGCCGTTTAGGCTACAAACTCTAACGAACATCCATCCATATAAACTTTTGCATTTATAATATTAGTATTTCCACATATATCTTTACATTCTTATATATCTATATAATATATTTTACAAGATTTGTACGAAAATAAAATAAAAAAAAATAGAGCACAACCGGCTGCGGAATCCGATGACTCAAGCAACCAGTGATCAGGGCTGCAGAGACAGGAACCTCCTCACTATGCGTGCGGTGTCTAAAATAACTGCCTTTTGAATCGGGCCCTTAATCCAACTGTCTAGCGAGAGCTTCTTGAGATGTTGGTCGAAGCTCTTCGCTATTAGCCCGTGTACTGAAACGACTATCGGAATAATGGTAGTCGATTTCACACGCCAGATGGCGGTAACCTCGTGAGCAAGATCTAAATATTTTAATAATTTTTCATTTACGGCTTTCACGAGATTATCGTCAAGTGGGATAGTGATATCGACTAACATTACACAAATCTCAGACCAATCTATTATTACTGTCAGGCCTATTGGCAGCAATAGTCCTGTCCGTAGTATGATTAGTATGATTATATATGTAAATGGTTTAATTTAAATAAAGTTATAAACTAAACTATCACATGAACGAATTAAATGAATCAAAGTGGTGGTCAATTCCGCGTGGGCCGGACTCGGAGCCGACTGATTTCATAAATCGATCCGCCGGTTAACGCGATGCTTCCGATATTACAAATTACTGCATCATAAATAGGGCTGCCAATAACGTAGACCCGAACACATAACAAAACAAAAACAGCCAGTGTTGTCCCAATAATGGATTTTTTTATAACATCCTTATGTTATAAAAAATGACAAACGAGCAAGCGGCCACCTGAATCCACCGAAATGGAAAGCGACCGCTGCCCATAAACATCCGCAATTGCAAATGCGTTGCCTAACCCTAAGAGGAGGAGACGCACATAAAGAGGACATTTCCCCTTCCTATGCGTCTCTTCCACCATCAAATCTACTTTTCTTTCCCATCCTTTCCTCTTAAGAAAAGGGCGGAAAGGGAAAGGGACTAAAATTAGGACTGCGGCACCACACTCATCAGACGAAACGCGGAATTGCTTCCACTTCACGCCTGTTTTCTTTGTGGTCGTGGTATTATACCGGGAGAGTCGACCCATTCGTGCGAAGATGTTAAAGCGGGCTCTACCACTGTTGACGGACGGCGAAAAAAGAACAGATATTTATTTGTTTCATTCACTCTGATCCGATGATATCGATATTTGAAACTGTAGCCTATCGTCAAATCATATACCTTTCCACCAAGTAACTCATAAGAACCCATGGCAGTAGAATTAGGTATTTATTTATTCAATATTAGAAATTGTTATTTCATTTACCAATATTTCTTTTAATAACTCCAAATAGGCTCTGAATTTAGGATTTAGTCCATTTTAACAGTAGAATGACAGGATTCGATTAGCTTATTGGCGCTATTCCCATGCATAGTTAAGAGGTGACAACCCTAGTAATAAATCATCCTATTGCACCCACGGCATACCGCCGACCAATAGACTGCAGAATAGAATTTAATGCGTCAATCGCTAATGGCATATCATTGGACAATTTTAGTTGCACCCAACGGCGTTGCACCGAGTAGTTTGAGCTAATAAGACCGGTACATTACTAAAGTAACCCTTACGGTATTTGAAATGTATTTTGTAATGAAAATGATCAAAAAAGTTTGACCAACTTTATCCAATTTTGATTTTGGCTGTAACTTGAATTGGTTGCAGCACAGTTGATGGGCGTCTACGTCGTCCCAAAAAAATAGAATAAGAAATAGATATAAAACCTGCTGACCCCTAGACCTAGCCTAGATCAGTATCCAGCCAGTGCTGGCTTCTAATATCTAGTAATTCCATTTTTTTTTTCTAACGGTGTACTTGACGAAAGGATTTTTTTTTTTGGGAATTCCAATAACGATCTGTCGAATGTTGACACCGATATTCTACGTAATCTGTAAATTATTTTTACTAGCTTTACATACTTAGTTATCTACCCAAATCATTTATCTGTCTACACAGTTTAGTCTAGTCGGCGCATCCTTAAAGGGGCGTACCAATTTAAAGTTTAAAATTGTCCATCCTTGTAGAGTACTTTGATATATGTTACCTATTAGCTCGAGTCGGTGGCCAACAAACACGAATACCTCTGTTGAAACTCTCCTTAGATATTGATAATAGGACGTGTTTAGAAAGGCAACATTGAAAGCTCGCTCGCTTACAACTGTTAAATGTCCAACCTACGTTAATAAGTGACTTGCGCGCGACAAATTCATTCTATATTTAATCTCCAGTACTATGTTTGGTCACTGAATGCTATAGATAAATTGACAATTTACGTCTGAATAAAGGAAATACACTTGTATAGCAGTTCATAAATTGTTTGAGAATAGTGGTTAGCTCTTATAATACTTGCAATGCAACGGGATACGACTGTAAACATAACATTAGATGTTTGGTAGCTATCTGTCTTATGTGACTAAATGTAATGTTTGTTTGTTTCAGAAGGATCTGTCTGATGACTGCGTGTTCGAAGAGCACATAGAAGAGAACAACTACAACACGTATTCAAGGATCCGAGCCGGCAAGAAGACATACCTCGCGTTAGACAACCGTGGCAGGTCGCGACGCACACAGATCCCCGTCAGCCGGCCCCTCGGAAACCTCTCGGGGTACGCCCTCACGCTGACTACGCGATGGGATGGACCACGGCAGTCGCAGTGTCCGCCACGCCGCCACCGCGGCAAACTCAAGCGCCCACCCCCCTTCCATAGGAACTGCCACAAACGCCTGCAGAAGCAGAATATGAGGCATAAACGTAAGCACAAGAAAGCGAACGATCCGAAAAAGAAGCAGCGTCATCCCAAGGGTAGGAGAAAACACGACAACGGCACGACCACCACGACGGAGGTGACATGGGATGAGTCGACCATGTCGACTGTGTCCACTACCGATGCGGAGTTTTTTCGGTCGGCGACCGCGCAGGAGGCGGTCGGCCGCGCGTGAGCCCGCTGCTCCTAGGCGCCGCCGTTGCGCTCGCACAATACCGACGTTCCGCCCCCCGCGCCCCGCACACGCTCCACTCCCCGGACCACTAGCCGACCTCATACTCTAGCGCTGGGCGGCGAAACTACGGTCACTGCTTGCTCTATTTGCAATTAAAACTTTAAATTACACAAAACAAATAATATTGGTGATATGAACTTGTAAATATCAGAATTAGTTGACAAAACAGGTTATGGATGGCTTTTGGTCAGCATTTGACCAGTTTAAAGCGCCCCGTTTTGGACAATCCCGTTTGTAATTTTAGATAAGTGCACCGGTGACCTGTTTCGCCGCTTCAAGGCCGAGGTTGCTTCGACTATTGCGATTGTTTTGTAATATTAAATGTAATGAAATACTCAATCGAGTCGCATCAAATGAACAAATCGATGTCTGAGCTGCAACGTGTAATAACAAAATGATATTATTCTACCAAAGCTACTGAAATTATCTATCTCAATTTATATTCCTAGTTCGCTTTAAAATGTAGGTTTATCGGCAAGATTCCAATTGTCTTAGTTACTGTTACTTGTCATGAAATTATTAACGTAGATGATAAAGTAATAATAAATTTAATCGAATGGAATAATTTGAAATGTGTCAAGAATATCGTTTGGTAAGGAAATGTTAGAGTTAGCTGTAGGATTCCTGTTCGCGCACTCTCGCTCTGGTACGTTGGTACTGTACGGAATCAATCAGTTCCTTTATTTTTCCCACTAAATGGTGTCCGCCATGTTTATTTGAATGAAGTTGACATTTCAACTGTCAAAAGTGGACGTCACTTACTCTATGGTACCATTTGCAATGTGGACACGAACAGGAATCGTAGAAAGGTTTTGTACTTAGTTGGATGATTGGGGGATTAATTTCATAAGAAATTGACTGAAAATATATGACTGAGTAATGTAGGTTTGTTGGTTTCGGAATAGGTAAGGCATTGTGCGGCGGACGGCTGGCTATTTTTATAAGTTCGAAGTACCATAGACAAGCGGTCTTGTTTTGTTTCTGTCAGAAAAAATATTTGGAACATTATTTCGTGTTATCGATGGATGCTATTTTCTCGAATAATGCATCGATTCAAGACCGCTTGCCTCGGGCAATTCAAAAAAATTAGTGATAAACGATAAACGGAGATGAAGTGACTACTAGTAGATAGCTCTTAAAACGTGTATCTAATTTGTAAATTATTTATTTTCCATAGAGAAAGTCGTATTTTGTTAACGTTTTAGTTGATGTTTTTAATTATTATTATTCTCTTGTCCCCTTAGTTCCAACCGAATGTAGATACGTAGGATTTTATACGCTTGTACTTTTAGTGAGCCAATTTTGTGTATTATATTATTTTAATCGGTTCGGTAGCGATATGTGCTTTTACATGGTTTTTGTATAGAGTATGGACGCTTTAAATGTGATTGTATTGACTCGAAGCGCGGTTACATTCATTTTAGTGAACCCTCGCATTTTTGTATGTAGTTTAATGAAACTTTTATAGGATTCAGCGAATTTCATTTGAACCACAGTGAAGATTCTAAAAATAATTTGACAATGCTATATTTATATTACCACACTTTAAGTTGTAACTCATATATTTATTTATATTTTCAATGTTGTAACTTTTTTTATTAGTCTTAATATATCGCTGAATCTTATATCAAGAGTTTCGGAAACATGTACAACAAGCTTTATGAATGTACCTACATATGTTAGTTGAATATTGCAGTTTATTTATGATGTATGTATTTTTTAAAAGAATCACGCGAAAATGACATGCAATCTTTTACAATATAAAAGCATTTATTTTGTCTTAAAAACGTCGGTGCCGTTACATCGATGTATCGATTTGTGTCCTTTTCGATTGAAAATAATCGATTAATCGGGTACAATTTTACTCGTTATCGTATTGTAAATTAAACCGTGCGATTTTTAAATTAGAATAGCACCAGTATTTGGATATTGTAAGAATATTCTCCATTACAATATCTAGTTTTTATTAGTTTTATATTCTGTAGACGATGTAAGTGAAAAATCGAACTGTCAATGTCATTAAAGAACGTTACGATAAACACGATGTAATAGCCTAATAATTTCGTAATTTAATTGTGATGATCACAAAATTATCCTAAACAAATTATTAATGATTATTTTTTAACTGAATATAATTAAATGACATAATAAAATGTTGCCTGTGTAAAAAATACTTAAAGATTGTATTGATCGTTATTAAAAAGGTCTAATGTGAAATTATTAGGCTAGTTTACATTATTTATACTGCCGAAATGTAAAATACAAGTTGATGTTATATATTATTTATACACAAGTGCCATAATATATCTAATTATCTGGATTTATATACCGAATGAGGGGATATTGTTGATTTCCAATGTCTATGTCCTATTTTCGCAATTTATCGTTATAAATAATTCACGAGGACTGGTCAGGAATACGGAGCCATGGTACGCTTGAATATATTATGCGGGCAAATGAAAACAAAACCCACTTAACGGTTAATTATAAAATATTTTGTTTGAGTTATGGAAACACTAATGTTTTGTTCCACATTAGCCGATAAACAGAAATTCACCTAAATCGATTTCGAGAAACGACTTCAATGTATTCGATTTTACGATCGGTTTCCGGACGGAAACCGAGTCTAATATTAATACATGTTTTCATTAGCCAGTTATAATATCGCACTGATTTCTGTTCTAAATGAATAGGCTGTTGCTTGGTAGGGGCAGTTTTTTTTTTCGATTTAAACCCATCTACTTTAAATGACGATTTAATATATTTCTATTATTAGTTCGAATCGTCACCATTTCGACCAAACGCAACCTATAGTGTCTAAATGCCAGAAATCATATAGGCACAAAATACCAAGCCCTATAACCTATCTATTTAATAGAGATTAGTGTTAGTCTGTGGTTTCCTTACAAGTGACAGTTAATTGATTTTCAAATCATGTAAGTTTCTAAATTCGAATTTTAAAAAAGGAACAAAGAAAAAACTTCCATTTATGGTGGCATTACAAACTGTCAAGACGTCTTATTGTAAATACATTCTAGATAAAATTTGCGATGTATTAAATCTATTAATATAATCATCGTTATTTACCGTTTCCCACCAAAACATGGCTCCGTAAACCACAGCATTCTCTATAGGAACGTCAAGAGGGGTCAAACAGTATTAATTATCTATACCTTACTTACAATAATTTTAACTTAATGCTCTCGCTGACGCATGTTTGTACAAATTACGGACAATTTAAAACATTTAAAGATGTGTATAATATTAAACATCTAAAGTAGAATTTAAAAATTCACCTTTTTACGTAGGTTTACCAAATGAAGATTGATCGAAACTTTTAGACAATAAACTTTTTACAGCCTCTTTTACCGACAAATAAATAAAACAAATCTTGAAATACAATTTGATGTTTCATTTTGCCTACTAAAAAAACTGGACCTACTAAGTAATCTCCCTTCCTACTTATTGACTAGACTAAGACCTAAATGGTCGGCGACCAAAGAATCTCTTTATGTCAACATTTAAAAAATCTTTTAACAACGAAATCTACGAAAACAAATTAACATAAAATTGTGTACTCACATCACAAAAGCAAGTGACATACTTGACCCTTAGGCAGGAATCACTTATTCCGTCCTTTGCTTCGAATACCATAAAACAGTCTGAGTGGTCAGGCCACCGCTTGTGTTAAATTTTTAGTTAAATTGCAAATTAATGCAGTCACAATGTTCTATTCTATTTCTTGTTTATGGCTCTCCCTCAGCAAATTGGGCCAATGTCAAGTAAAACAGTCACAATGTCACAAGAGGCACAAAAGACAAATAATATACACTCAAAATCTAACATTTTCTCAGAAAGTACAAAGCCAATCAACATTTATAGAAAAGTCTATTTTGGTTGCTAGACTGGCATTAAACATATTTTTGTACTAAATTTTATAAGAACATGATTCAACGTAAAACAGTAAGGTAATTGTAAAATGTACTGATTTTGAATTTGAACCCCTGAAGCAGAGTCTGTTAAATATATCTTAAAAAGGTCTGTTAAAATATCTCTATTTTTGTAATGAGAGGAGTGACAAAATATAAATTTTTACACTAATTAACACGTCATATAATGATACAAATAAAAACGGTCGATGCAAATAATACCGTAAATATAACAGGCTTACCGTGTAGAGTTTAAAAATACATGAAAAAATAGCATTTTCTATAATTTTATTTTTAAGCGATTTACAAAAATCGAAACTTGGTTATTCCAATTTCAAATTAATTTCCATCTGTTTTAAATTAAAAAATATTATTTAGTCTATGGTAGGTTAGCGTTGGGCGACTGATAACGCCGCATCGATTTTCTCACATCTCGGTTGGCAGCCATTGTATCGAACGAAGGTCGTACTTTGCTCGATGGTTTATTCGCTCGCAACTCGCCATCTTGTTTTCCAAGCTCGAAGTTTGTGAAATCTTTCGATTCGATACGGGTTTATAATCGGTTTCGGTTCAATATTCATCAGAGTTTTTGGCGGCAAATTGATCAAAGATTAATAATCGATTAAGCGATGAAGAAAACATCGTCGTTGGTTTGGCGATTCTTCGATCGTTTGGAAGAAAATAAACGTTGTGTGGCGGTATTGTGTAAATTATGTGATACGCAATATAAATATTTCGGAAATACAACGAACTTAAGAACTCATTTGGTGGGCAAACATCCTATTCAGTGGGAATTACTGCAGAACGGTAGTCTAGACGATTCAACATTTCGGACATTGGACGATGATGAAAATACTAACCAGGCACCGAAACGAAGAAAATATCTTAAGGTATAAAACCTATACTATTATTAATTGTTTCCTAAACCTAACTGCTTTATGTTACGTTGTAAATTACTAAGTTTAACTCTTATCACGTTGATAATGATATTATCATTCTATTCTATTGATATATCGATTTTCTCAATTGCTATATGAAGTTGGATCGACTTCTCAGTAATCGATTTGTTTATATATCTTTTATGAAACAATTTAGGCATATTAAATGTTTCAGACAGTGTTTAGGTTATTTTAATATGAATTGTCTTCCAAAAAAAACTATCTAAGTGTGAAAATATAGCAATCATGTCAGTTTGATGAGGACAGAGTATATTTCAATGTGATATCAAATATTTCCTATTTAATATTGCAATTAAGGTTATATATGCAATAATTTTTAACAGCTTCTACTCCAAACAAACAAACAAATCCAACAAACACATCAAAGCTGAACATTCATTTACTAACATTTGAAAATGTACATTATTTGTTGCATTTCCAATACAAATAATTTCAAAAAATCCTAAATAAAAAGGAATAATAATGAAAATAGTAATTCCATCTTGCTGTTCTTTAATAAGTTTGTTTATTGCAGGTTGATGTTATAGAGCACCCGGAAACAGACATTGATAACAATGATGAAGTTGATACCACCATGAATGAGCATATACGACAGAATTCTGACGAGGAATGGCTAGAAGATGAATGGATCGAAACATACGAACCTAATAATAGAGTGAAGTACAGACGGGTAAAACGGGAGGTGACAACACCTACCTCACCTAAATCAGTACGAAGCTATGCGTTCAATCGCAAGCCAACAACTAAAGCACAAGGAAGACTTACTGCAGTTGCTGTTAAGAAAGATGAATATTCAGTATTCGGTGAATACATCGCTAATAAATTAAGAAAATTCAAATCGTACCAAACAAGTGTAAATGTACAACAATTAATAACAACTATACTATGGCAGGCGGAATATGGTGTCTATGATAATATAGAATCCGTGAAACGGATTGTCCTAAGTACTGTACAAGACATGGATACCACACATAATAATACAAATAATGAAACTGTAGAAGTATCTGTGGATGGATTAGTTAAAAAAGATCAAGATATTGTCCAAAGTGTAATTGATAGTGTCAGAGTGGTCGAAGGATGAAAGTAAATCTTTCTTTTTTACCTATTACCAAAATTATCCCTAATGATACTAAGTCATACTAGTTTATCAAATATTGGTAATTAGATGTACAAATTTATTAATATATAGTTAAAGGAATTGCCAATAGCTGGATTTGTCAGATCCAATTTTGTTAAGTGTTGTAAATAAATATTAAAAATTAAACAATTTATTTTATTAAACAGTTAACCGTTATTTCCGTATTCTATTTCATTTGTTATGAATGTTCATTTTTTGATGTGAAATGAACATATTCAGCATATTTCTTTTTTTTAAATGTTAGGTGACACAAGCAAGCGGCCTTAATTTGCCAAAATAGCGGAATAATGTTGCCCATAGACATCTACATTCACAGATTCATTTTCTAAAATTAATAGGCACAGATAATCAAATTATTATATGAACTTGCCATAGTGTGTTGGTGGCATTAAACAGCAGCACATTGTTAGTCGGATAAATACTGGAAAGGATTTATATCCAACCAGGCCTAAGATACAAGTTGATCAACTCGGAGTTATGATTTTGAACACTAATGTATATCCTACTAAAAAAATGCAAAACTGTAGATGGATGGATGTTAAGTTTAAGAGTTTGTAGCCTAAACGGCTGAACGGATTTTGATGAAATTTGGTATAGATGTAGAGGTTAGTCTGGAAGAACACATTGGCTTCTCACTTTTGTTTTTTATTTCAATGTGGGTGAAAGCTAGTCTAATATACTTGTAAAGTAAATCTAGAGGCTTTAAGGAGCAATATTCTGAAATAACAAAGATATGAAGTACGACTTCTATGTGCAGTTTTTTGTACTATCTTGCCCACAGACAAAACAAGACTAATATATGGGAACAATATAAGTATTGAAAACATTTATTTATAGTAAAAAATTGTACAAGTTTAGATAATCTCAGGTATTGTATAAATTACATAAATCTGTCAAAAGAGCATGGTGCGCGCATGCGCGGTCGATGTGCTATTTCTTTTTCCATCAGTTTTCTCTCTCACACGACAATCAGCTGTTCTGTCAACATGGCCACCCTAGGTCGTACGTCTAGCAAATTATTGAAAAAATTAAACGTTTTGCCCATTTTTAATCGTGATATAAGTTCAGTGAGTTACAAAAATGTCCACAAGACGGCATGGACCACATGTGCGTGTGTGTTCGGAGGTGCTATTGTTTTATACGTCGCGAATAGATCGTACAACCGGACAAGCACCGTATATGCCTTGAAAACAAAGGTGAGTAATCAATAATTTCCCTGGTAACGTTATATTATCAAATGCTTACAGTTAACTAAGACAAATAATCAAATACCAACTAAAAATCTATGTATCCAAGCGGTAATTCATCTTTCAGTTCAGTTCAATATTTTAAATTACATTAGTTAGACGTTAGGTATAATTATAGACAGTTAAGGATAATACGTCCATTAAATGTAGTGTAAATTTAACACTGTTAAGTCGTTTATATTAGTGAAATGTTTAAGGCAATCCAATAATTAAAAATAGCTCGCTTACGCCGCACCTGACATAAAAAACTATTTGACGTTTGAGCTTGCGTTCGGAAATCTGCGTGTTCTTCATTATTAAAGATCGTTCAAAAAAAACTTTTAACAAGTACACCTAAAAGTTTTTATTAAAGATATTTTACTAAAGGCACATTTTTTTAAATAAAAGATATTAATTATTAGTTCAAAATTTATCTGCACTAGGCACTCCAAACACAACAACCACGTTTTAATATTAGTTCTTATTTTCATTATCAATGTTGTAAGTTAAATAAGAAATAGTGCAACGCATAATTTTTTTTAATACATTTGAAAGATGTCACTTCTGTTGAATATCATAAAATTTTATTAAATTATACATGTTGCGGCGTATTACTAAGGATCCCCGCGTCCTTAAATTAATGTGAACGATTAATATCATCGCCGCGTCCATGAGAATCGCTTCGGCAGGAGCATTTACGTAATTTTTTTCTTTCAACTTAACACGTGTTAAATGCGGTAATGAGTTCCCGGGTGGTGAATCGTTAATAGGACAGAAGACGAATTGTTCTCGATTTTTGGAATCGATTTTTTTCCTTAGGAATTTCACTTTTTAAACTGTCACTTAGCGCGCTCATGGCGATAGGGTTGACGCAGTTTTAGATGACGGTCATTAATTTTATTAGGGATGGCAACAAATCCTCTGGTATCCCACCAGAGGTTTCGTTGCTTTTTATAAAATGAACGATGAATTATATCTTCAGCCTAAATATAATAAAATGTCCTCTTTCTTATCACTTACAATGTTGCATCATAAATATTAACAGTTCATGTGTATCTTTGCAATATACCATAGATTTTACTTTCATTTCTACTCACTTTACTGATAATGATAAAGGCAGACAAAATGCATAGACTAATGCGTGGGACATCTAACACCATCTATCAAATACACTTAAAGGCATCACACACAGAATGCGAGACTATAGGGAGTCGAATACTTAATCCCTAACAGCGGTATCAATTTGATACTTTCTCGACACTTGAGGTCTAAGTCCATCGTTCGATACCCATAGACTAAACAAAACTTAGTGTAGTCTATGGCTTGTTTATGAATTTCTTTTACAGATGTATAAGATTCAATTTTACAAAAAAAAAACAAATGCTAATAATAATAATTTCAACAACCTTTAAGAGAATACAGTGTAGCTTTCGTATTGCGAAATATAGCGTTCTGTGTGTAAACGCCTTAAATCTGCACTCTACATATCTCCCGATGTTCATTTGTCAACGTTTGCAAACAAAATAACGATCTAAACGCGTGCAACTGACTTTAATGAATCGATTCGTAAATGTACAGGAAATATGTTGAAAAACGTTGCATTAAATGTTGCGTGAGATAAAAGAAAAATGCAATATTCGAACAGATAAGTTTACCATTAATCATTGTTTAGTTTATACGCATTTGACGACGTTTTATACTTGTTGATTTCCTCCTATTGTAGAAAAACAACAATGACCCGATATAAATAATTCAGCGCGAAATGTGAAGCGGTCAAGACTCATATCGCATACTAAAAGAGTAGTCATCGATATTTCAACTCAGTAGGTGGTGAATCAACCTTAAAAATCTAGGTATAAAAAGATTCAAAGTTTGTAGACGCTCGTGGTTGCCTTTGAACGTGATTCCATAAGAGGGCGAACAATGGGTTGTTTCTAGTGCCTCCATAGACAATCAATGTTGAGATAATCAATTTTTAGATATATGATAAATTTCATGCTATAACGTTTGTATTTCCTGATATAAAGCAAAATAAAGAGACATTTCAAACATCAGATAAAGTTGTATATGGTCTCTGAAGGCCCTTGATACAGCCCAATGTGGGGCCACACAACGGATGGAGAAATGTGCTCTCAAGTGTGTACGCATACTTATAATTGAGCTAAGTATATTCTGAGCTGCCAATAAGTTTGGATCGTACTATACCACAAAACCGAGCAGGATTTCCTCTTAGCGACCTACATTTAGGTGTTAATATAAACATTGTTTTGAATTTTAGTCATTGTTTTAACTTATTACGTGGACTGGCTAATGTTGGGTTAGTAAATGTTTATAAATACAAAGTAAATTGAAATGCTTATTACCTCATAGTACTGTTTTGTTGTATTTATCCTACTTAACTGCTAATTTTAAGGAAAACAAGAAAATCACACATACAAAATAATACTATGATTTAAATTCTTTAAAAACCGCAGTCTTTGGCTTAATAAAATAGACGCATTCGGCATTCTTTGTGGTCGCGAAACCATTTAGTAGACGCGATCAGCATTGTCTATGGTAGATAATGCGCGAATCTGGGAAGTGGGAACGCCCCGTGCTAGTTTTGTCTGTGGTTTCCTCTATGCGTCATCTGTCATTTATACTTTATACACATACTAAATTAGCAAATGACTAATATTTTATAGTGCGGTTATATACACAATAATGTAACACACGGTAGACTAGCTGTTCTTGCGACTTCGCCTGCGTGATTTGAAAAAAAAACAAATAGTGGCTTATGTTACTCACTGATAATGCAGCTAGTTAATGGTGAAAGAATTTTTTGAATAGGCCCAGTATTTGAGTTATTCCAATACATACAAAATAATTTTTTTTCCCTGTTTGTAATATTAGTATAGACAAGGTTCCTATCTGTATCTATACTATTATAATAAAGCGTAAACACACACTTCTTTGTTGCCTAAGATGTTACCAATTATAGCATATTATTGAATAATTCTTTTTTTAATAAAAAGCCCTACACGTACATCAAGCTTTAGGCTATATATTGAAGCAATTGAACTTAGGGGGTAAATATTTTGGATAAAAACCCTAATGTGGGAAAGAGACCAAAAGTTGCTGCCAACATCAAGAAACCAAGATTGCCAAGGTTTTTCCTGTCATGTCATTTTGACATTTGCTATTGATAATTTGACAAATGTAAACAATAAAATCAATTTTTCATAATTTCATGCGGATGAAGCCGCACTGGAACAGCTGGTTATTTATAAAGACCTTTAGTGTAAATTAAAAAATATATATTTACAAACTGACCTAAAAAAAAGTAATTGCTAAAGTAAATTTTGTACAGTATGTTTAAATAAAACAATATTTAAGTTCTCTTAAAATAAATTACCAACATTATGTACGCTATCTCGCTAAAGTTATTATAAAAATAATTTTTATTCTTCAGTTTACAAAACCCCTTCATTATACGAAAGCACAAGGCGTATTGGGAGGTATTGTTCCGATTAAATTGTCTTAAGTAATTGACGTTGGAGAATGTAAACGCACTTTTATAACACGTTCTTGCAATTTAAGGTCAAAGGTCAACGCCCTAAATAGACATGGGACCTCTATTTTATCTTTAATCTTTGTAAAGACCATTCAACCTTTTGAACTCGCGACTAATCTTTTCCTTTGGTAGATTGTCACAGTGCAATTTGTTGAACACGTGCTGTAGTTGTGCGATTTATTTTTGTAAGGTACAACTTCATTATATCTTACTAATCTATATCTATACTATTATAATAAAGCGTAAACACACACTTTGTTGCCTAAAATGTCAGCAATCACAGCATGTTTTTGAATAACTCCTTTTTTAATAAAAAGCCCTACACTTACGTCACGCTTTAGGCTATATATTTTCACGCCGTTAAACTTAGGTGTAAATATTTTATACTATTATAATAAAGCGTAAACACACACTTCTTTGTTGCCTAAGATGTCAGCAATCATAGCATATTTTCGAATAACTCATTTTCTAATAAAAAGCCCCACACTTACGTCACGCTTTAGGCTATATATTTTAACGCCATTAAACTTTTTTAAATTTTTTACTCTATGGGCAAACTAAACGATTATATTATATCTACTGGATTATTGTCTATGAGTACTACTTAATAATGTACACCAATATGTCATTTTTGTTGGTATAAAATCGTTTGAAACCTTATACTGTGGAACTCGTTTATCGTCTACCTCTTACACTTTCACTTATAAATGAAGACGCGTATCCTACGTTGGAAACATCTTTATTACATTGAACTATATTTTCTTTAGTAATAAAAACACTTTTATTTGTGGGAGGTATACAATTCGAATTCTATTCGTGACGTATTTTATTCTATACAATGGAATATACAACAAATTATCTCATTATAACGTCTGTAAAATATGAAGCGATAAACAACGAAAAAATAGCTTTACCACGGTGACCAGTGAGAAATGGTTCAATGACAACGTGGGTGGTCTGTTCGTAGAAACACCCTTTTGTTAATGGCCATTCGGGGACAATAAGGCACCCTTTATTAAGGGGGTTTGGATTTAGGGTTAGCACGTGAATAGCCCAGCCTGATTTACCTTTAAGCCGGTGGCGATGTTATCAATGGTTAGTGTTTTGTTACGAGCCCCGCCATTTGTTAGTTTTTTCCGCCCTTTATATGTTTTTTAATTCAAGTCCGGCTGTAGTGATTCCCGTAGGAAGGGTAATTGGAACTGATTTACAGATGTCAAGTTTGTCGCTTTTGAATGTATTCTAGTTTTGTTTTTTACTTGAGTAGATTATCGGCAGATTGAAATGACATTTAAATATGGAACAGTATGTTATAAGGCCACTATTAAATTCCACATTAAAACGACTTTTGTCGGATTATAAGCGGTACATATGAAGCGAAGTGGACGAAGCGTTTCAATACTTAGCCGCATTTGTT